AAAGAGATCAATATATATAAAATAAAACTTTACTATAATTGTTGTATAAGTCACTATGAGTCAAATTATTCAAAATCAAAGAATTTATATCCTAATATTCCAGAAACAATTGGAACAATTAGGACACCTTATATATTATAATTCACCAAAATAATCTATCATGAAAAATTTTAACATACCCTGCTGAATATGATTGGTATAGAGGATTCGGGACTGAGAAAATCTGGTCCCAATTGTGCATAATGTTGTTGCTGTTGTTCCAACGTCGCTAGAACCTCCTTGACTTTTTCTGAGCTACTCAATAATTTCCAGTCTTCGGAATCGAGTATGCTCTCGCATTGGATACACACACCGGCCACTTGTGATCTCGTGGTCGTGAGATCTTTTTGTTGCTGTCTCAACGCACACAATCTACCGCGAGTCTCCGTCTCGATATATGCCATCGCCGTTTTCTCTTGTTCGGCCAGAACAGCGCGTAGTTCCTCAAAATGATATCGCACTCTTCTTCTCGCATCTTCGACCGCCCAGCCCTCTAATTCTTCAATTACTATTTCTAAAAATATGAAATATAGATTGATAGAAGATATATAAGATATATAAAATAAATACATATAAAGATTTAGATTTAAATACATACTAAGGTAAAGGTTTATATTCTCTTTCCCAAATTTAGGCTCGTTTTTTTTATTTATATGTAAGAAAAATTAGCAAAAAAATACCTATCTTGTGTGCAGTGTCTCTCATGCTTTCCATAAACTGTGTCATCTTTTGTAATGCGGCAATAATGGATTTTCTGATATTCTCGGCCTCTTCCTCCACCAATGCCGGCTATCATTTAAAGAATAGGTAAAATTGTATCAATGTATATAAACTGAGAAGTGAGCTATAAATAAAATTACCTTGTGTATGCTGTGTTTGCCATACTCTTTACACAGATAACACATCAAGGAATTGTGACAGCCTTCTTGGGTGCATGTGAATTCGGCCACGTGCTCCATATGTATTGGACAGCGAGGCTTTTCACGTGGCTTCTCTGACAGTGGCACTCGTCTATGCTTGCCTAATGTTTTAGATGAATGTGTGGCGGTGTCGCATGTCTCGCACAGATGCGTGGCGCAAACCGTGCAATAGAGAACAGCAGTGTGAGCCTCGTCTTCGTCGCACGACTGATTTGACTGATGCCTCTCGCGTTCCAACACCACTGTCTTCTCGCTATTGGATTGCTCCAGCCGTTCGAGCAGCTCGATGAGTGCAAAATTCTTCTTCAGACTGTAGACGCTATTTTCGTACACGGCGGTGGGTTGCCGGTCGAAGGGACACAGCAGAAACTGCTGATCCTGCATGCAAGTTCTCAATCGCAACAGACACGCGTGGCACACTGTGTGTCCACAGTGCAACAAACGTGGTACCTTTACACCATCCACAGTAAAAACCTCTTCGCAGACACGACATTCCAAAACCTATAAGCATTCGGATATATCTTACGAGCGAAAAATAAGAAAACATTTAATATCTAGTTTGACAACTAAATATTTAATTTGGCAAGTCTTATCAAATTAAATATTTTACTTTATGTGCTATTGGCGTTAATATATCTAATGCATCTATTAAATTTCCTAACTAATTTAATGTAATATATTGATATTATTCCAAAATATATAAATATCTCTTACATTCGATTTCGGCGCCGTTTTCAGCGAATGCTTTAGATATTTACTCAGTCGATCGGCGTCCTCGCTCATTATGATGATTATTTTCTTCTGTCTTTCACCTAGAAATCCAGATGTAGTTTCCACAATTAGAGCACAAGTGATGGAGGTTAACTTTAAATAGCGAAATCTCCGCTCTGCGTGAAAGGTTTAAATCATTAAATCGTGGTGAAACCGCAGAATGGCGCAGCAGAACTATACATATAACAATGACACTGCACGTTATTTTGTATTCGATTCTCGGATGTTTTTCTTTGTGCCTTTACGCCTATTTTATCCATTCCTTCGTTGTAATTTTTGTGAATATATTATCAATTTTTATACATTTTGTTTTCATTCTTAATTGGTTATCTCATCTTCGAATTTCAGCAATTTTCCTCTTCTAACTACCTTTATCGATCTGGCGGGTTCACAGGCGAAAAAGAGATACCTTTATCAGATGGGACACAGCCAATCAGAGTAATCGACTTTGCGAAAAGAAAGCTTTTGATTGCGCGTCTCGTGACATATTTTGTATCTGAAAAAAAAACAATAACACATGTCAGATTAGTTTTTATTCACTCTTTTTTTTTACAATATTTATTACAAAAATATACAAAATTAAATTGCGAAAGGAAACAAAACTTTTTTTTGCACTTTTACAAAATATATGTAATAAAAAATATCTTTGAAAATAAAATTATAATTGTGCACTCTAAGATTGAGAATTCTTCTCGTAATTACATCTATTGGAATAAAAATTAGATGACACCGGAATATTCTTGTATTTTTCTACAAAAATTGATAGTTAAAGCATATATTTTTAATAATGTCAGCATTTTTTTAATTATGTAAATTTAACTTTGTGCAATGCATATGTATACACTATTTATTATGCTATAAACAAGTTTACTTGTCGCTATAGTACCGATTTAAAAGAAATATATTATCGATACCGATTTTGACAAATAAAAATCACAAATATAGATATTATGGAGAGTACTATGTACAAAGAGAGATATTTTCAGAATTACTCTCTCAAATGGACCAAGCTTTATAGGTTGTTTTATCCAGCTGGTCGCCAGTTGTAGTTGTCAACCGTAATGAGCATCTTGAAAGCAACGCGAAGCTAACCTTAAACTCAAATTCTTGATGGCTCGACAAAATGTCAGAACTCTTCATGAAAAAGTGAAATTTTAAATCATTATGATGGATTATCTGAAACAGCCGGTGTTCGAAGTAGGAAATATCAACGAAGATATTAATTTTTCATTGCCACCTATTTCCGGAGAGGAATACATCAAACGAGTGGTGTAATTTACGATAAGATTTTTTCACTTACACTTTTTACATATTTTTCTAAAGTTTTAATTATATGCATATTTTTATTTTATTTTATTACAAAGAAGTGTATAGGAAAGTTCAACTAAAAAGGATCATCTAATTGTATTGTAGCTCTGTTCCTTTCAAAAATGTATTTTATTAAAAATTTCTATTGCCAAAGCACGAATATATATAAATTACTTTCATTACAAGAATATAACTAATAAAGAACGGAGCTCTTGCAATCAACTGTATAACAAATCAATGATTAAAAAATTGTTGATCTTGTAGAATAGAAGCCCGACAATGTGCAGACATAGTGGTAGCTGATATAGATCCATCATGTATGACACTTTCAAGAGGATCTATTAAAACTGTAAGAGTTGATTTCAGTAATATTACGTATTGACAACAAATCTAATAAATTTTGTACACTAATGTGACTATAAAAGTTAGCAGGATGTGTCCAAGCACCGCCGAGTTTCAGCCCAACCTTGGAGTGGCAACAGTATCAAGTCTCAGACTTTTCAAATATAAGACTGTATGTAAGTCAATTGAAAGACGAGATACAAGTGGGTAAACATAAATGGAGAGCACCTGATATTAATTTGGTATCTAAATTTTTTTTTTTAGTATTACATAATAAACTTGCCTGAAATCTGAAAAAAATCTTGAATTACTTTTTGGTTTAATCATTTTTTTTTTTCTTTGATATTACAGCCAGACATAAACGATCAAAACACTTGGATCAGCTTCTGTTTAGGTAGCAAAGAGAAAATTAAACCCACATTGAATACTCTGTTTTGCTTCAATCAATCAACTGTAGAGCAGGTACTTGAATATCTGGTGCACTTTGTGGAAACTGAAAGGAGAATCGAATACAAAATAGGCCAGTGGATCTACGCGTTACTCGCGATCTTGGAGCAACCATTACAGCCTGATACCTGTTCCTGTCTGCGTTCGTTGGCACGAGCGTGTTCCGTCATCCGCGCAGATTCTGTAAAACTTATTAATCTTAATCAAATTAGATCATTGAAGTAAATTAATGTTGGATGTAAATTAACCAATGTCAGTCTGTGCTTTGAAAAGAGAGAAGAGAAAATGTTTACAAATGTTTATTTAGTCTTGTTTATATCAATAATTTAACACTTGTGAAGTGTATTTTATAAAAATTTCCAAATTTAATAATATATATCTTGAGATAACATAAAGAGAAAAAAAAAGAACAAACAAAATTTATTTTCTCAGTCAAATATAGTTAGTCATAAAAATAAAAATATTTTTATTTTTGACTTTAAGCGAGTGAAAATATTGATCTCTCCCATTAGTTTTTTGATATCTAGTTGCTATTTGACTTGTTTAATATAACAAAAAAAATGCAAGGAAAGAACAAAATAAATTTCAGGCAGTCATATTACTAAATGTGCTGTGAAAAAGTAGGATTTAATATATTCTCTCTTTTCCACACATACACACACACACACACACACACACACCTATAAGAGTTGAATCTCTTATATATTGTTCTTAAATTATAGAATAACATTGGTTCTCTTCTATAATTCCAAGATATCAATTTAACGCAAAGAAAAGTTCAGTTAGATATTTAATATATTTTGTTTCTTATTAGTCGCTGATCTATTATTGATTTTGCTAATATAAAATATATAGGGAAGAGAAAAACAGAGGAAAATGCTTAATTTCTATTAACAAAACATTTTTATTGCATAACTTCTATTTATGCTGTTGCAATGTTGTTTCCAGTGTTAGAAAAAGATTCAGGCGATAATAAAAACATGCATTCATCAGATTACAAAAGGTTGAGAAAATAAGAGACTGAACTTTTCTTCTATATCTACAAAAGTTTATATTAGAATTTACTAACGATATCCTTGTCCTCTTTTTTTAGAGAGAATTGGACGCGCAGGAGCTGGGGGCGCTGAATTTATTCATCTGTTTGGTAGCAAGATACTTCCGTCAATTAGACCTGGCAGATCCTTCAGAATTTCCCAATACACAATTAACTTAATTATTTATGACGCAATGCGACTCATGTATACAGCAATTTTAATAAAGTGACATTACGTTTAAAGTTTAATTTCAAACGTAAAGTGGTATGTTTTTAAATCTCGCATGATTTAAATACATTTAATTACAAAATACCAATTATTGGGAGGCGCAATATATATAAGACAATGCTTCAATTAAATAAACTCGTATTACAATAATCAATCGGTAAGCAGAATTAAAAAATCTTGAGTTACTCTTAAGCTACGTTCTCTTGGTCCTGGAGTAACGCAATGGCTAGTCTTTCTAGATCATCGTAACTAAGGCTATTCACTTTGTTTTTTAAGTCCTTTATCAGCTCATTGACTATGGACTCTGTCTCAGATACCGTGTAGTAATGCCTGAGCACTCGGGTAACTTCATCTCTCAACAGATGAATGCCCGACTTCTGTTGCGGCGAAGATTTTGCCTCGCTGGAACCCTCCTCCGCTTTCTTAATTACCAAGAGATTTAATTTACTGCCATCTTTGATTCCCGGATAAAAACTTAGTGGATTCTCGTCTAAAATATATCAAATAAATAATCTATAATAAAAATTACAATGACACATGACACTACATAACTGAGTATACTTACCCGCTAAAGTTTTGCCGGTGAGTAATAATCTTTGTTGCGGTACATCGATGCCTAAGAGATCACTCACTTTGTGTTTCAATTCCAACACTGTCTCCGATGGCAATATCTAAAAATGATATAATGTGAATAAGTTTTTATATAAAAAAAAAATGCTTAATTAATATAAAGACTAGTTGCTACAAAAAAGATTCTTCGCATTCTAACCTCTTATTTACCAAACGTTTAAGTACTCTCTCCGATTCGTTCAAAATAATCGCCAATTTAACTTTATGTTTATAAATATTAATCCAAAGTAAAATTCAGATTGCAAAGCGAAATCGTCGATAAACGAGGTTAACGAAAAGAGCAACACGATAGGGCAATCCTCCTATACTTACATCAACGACGCATTCTTTTCCCTGTAATTTCTTCACGATAACTTTCATGATGAACGGCTCCGTTAATGATTGCGAAAACAACGTTGGACGTGCGATACACGCGGGCGTACACACACACGAACACGACGAGCGTGCGTCGATCAGCTTTCTCGAAACAGCGGTGCCTCCGGTTGAACCGATAAAAGTTGGAGCATCTTACGCACGTAAGGTGAGGGTGAGGTTATATTTTGCGTTCGCACGATCGGCGGCGCACAAGCGTCATCGGCGTCATCGACTGCTATTTTCTTCTCCTACCTCAGGAGCAGCGGTGCGACGCGGCGGTAAGCGTGGGTATCGATGTGATTGCCTGCGCGGATATCGATAGCGATAGCGGTGTCTCGTGACAATTATCCCGATCGACAACGCACTTCACTGGCATGTTACTCCCGTCTCTCCGAATCGCCGTCGACCTCCACGCGCGCGAATTTATTTCTCCTACGGAGTATATTGTTATTCGCGTATACCCTTTCGACTTCCTCCTCTCTTTCCTTTCTTTTTTTTTTTCCTTTTCTCGTCGTGACTAACGAGGCTCTCTCCGGGCGGCGACTCGGTCGAACGTGGCGCCATCTCTCGGGATAATTGTAAATCAATGAAAGTGCGTTCGAAATTCTACTTGTGGGGTAGAGTAGCATTGAATTGACCAATCAGGACAAAGAAATCTTTGCTATTTTTGTCCGGATTTTTGAACACACCCTAATGGAACGTTTGAATAAAAATCGCGGGATCGCGATGAACGTAACGTTAAAATACAAGGAATGGAGAAGGAAATATGTAATATAGGTAATTATTATTGCAAGGTCAGAGAAACTTGAGAGCAATAATTCTCCTGATTTAAATAAATTATTCAAAACATCTTTACGTTCATAAAACGAGGACATTGAAATATATATAACCATTATTGCGAAACTTATCGGAGGGCAATACGCTATATTACCTACTATGCCACGTATTACGATTTCTCGATTATGGTAATATAAATCTGTAAGTAATTATGTTCACAATAATATTTTTCCCTTCCGGATTCAGCATTTTTTTATCGTATTGTTACTAAATAATATTCATGGTTGTTGGCTCTAATTTTTAAAGATATGTTAATTTGATATATCTTATATGTTTACTTTTTTACGTTCATTTTATCACGTTACCGTAACTTTTATTATCTCACGCAGTGTATTCGCGTAATATTGTTTCTTATTCTATTAATAATTAATAAACATATATATTACAATTCTTTATTTTCTCTCTATTGTATATTCGCGCGGTCAATGACCACGATCCAAAAATTTATTTCAAGGACGAACAGGGTCTATCTCTTATGAAATATTTTGCATGTGAGAAATGTAAATGATAAATATTATTCATGAAACAATACTAAATAGGAAATCAGGAAATGATTTACAGGAATTATCCAAAATCTATTACAAGTTTTTGAAAGGTTCTTTGGTATTGAAACAATTCGACATACATATTTAAAAGAATCTAACCTAATCTAACTTGCCGATCCGGGATAAAGAGAGAGGGAAAAAATAGGTTACAGTGACATGTACCCATATGTTTGAAAGTGCAACTTTCACGCCGAAAAATGCACGAAATGTGCGATTGAAGATCGTATAATAACACGTCTTGTATTATTTTTTGGATAAAATTCCCGCTACTCGAAAATACTCGTCGATTTCTCCATGTTTAGGAAATCTAACCTTGAAACTGTATACAGAAGAAAAAAGTTTTTTCGCAGAAGAAATGTTGAAACATTTAATTAGAAGAACGAGATATTTGATCAGCAAACAGATTGTCAGAAAGTAAAACAAATTATTCACAAGAGTCTGTGTGATTTTAAAGCGATTTTACTCGCGTGTTGAAATGTTTATTGTTGTTAACAGTCTGTCAAAAATTGATGTGCACAATGGGGGAAGTAAATGTGTGTTTTCAAATTGACACTGACAATCGTGAGAATTTCTCATCCGGCCTTGCATTTCACGCCTTCAGAAAACAGAGGGATGCCTTTTACGATATATTGAGAATTTGGGAAGAAAATCACTTGGTGCCAGGATGGGTGTTTCAGATTGCGTTAGGTGGCAGGATACGAAGTATGTTGACGATGCACAATGACTCTACCAATTATTACCACATTGCTAGGTTATTTAAATCACAACTATTGATATCGTGCATACAGAATAAACATCACGTAAGTCAAAAGCTATTAGTATTCTTCGTTTCATGGTTATAACAAGATCTTTAGATTATGAAATAATTGTATAAATTTCAGGATGATGTGGTGGATGACGAGAGTTTGAATTTTCTGAAGTCCTTGAAGCATGTCAATCCTGAAAAATTAACTCAACTCAGTAAAAGATTCATAACTCCTTTGCCGTCCCAAAGTCAAATTCTTGGTCCTTCATTTCCTGGCATGCAAGAATTTTTTAAAGATTTTATATTACATGCAGTTCATCCAATATTTTACACGCATCTGGAAAATTGTTTTATATACGAGATAATAGAATTAAATAACACCCAGTTTGCTAATAGTGAAATAGAAGACTCAGGTATGCATTTTTTATTATTTTAACAATAGCTTTGTAATACGTATAAGATTTTAGAAATACAATGTTCTCCTATTGCTTTTGCAGAAACAATGGTTGACGAACAAACACAAGAAAATTTTATTACTTGTTTAGCTAGCTTGAGGCTTCTTGCAAAAGTATTAGGACTTTTAGTTTCATTGCCATACAGATCTGAATCTAATACTACTAAAGAAATTATAGCAACACAAATAGAGATAAGAAGCAAGGTATTTGATGAAAATTGTAAACGAATGCTGAAAGCTGTGTGTTTTATTTTATTAATTCTTAATAATATTTGCAATTATTTTATTTTCCAGGTTTTACCATCATTAAATTTACAAGCATGTCTTCAAAATGCTATAGTTGAAGGCAAACTTTCGCTGACGATACCTTGGATGGTTAAATATCTAGCCATGATGGATACAGTGTCGCTTCGGCTGCCGTATTACAAACAGATCTTAGAACTATTATATTATATTTATCATGCTATCAATCAGACCAATCTTTCTGCTTCTGATAGCTCTATTTCCCAACAAGCTGCTGTGTTGCTTAAATCAAGTTTGTGCTGGTTATTTGAATTACCAAACTATCCCAAGGATTTCCACATTGCCTGGCAGAATACTTGCAAAATTAAAGAATTGAAGAGTCTCAAACAGGTGGAAAAGTTCTCTGAAAAGAGAAAAAACTCACATTCCGCGGATTGTGCGGTTCCCGTTAAATGCAATCTCGATAAATTAGATATAATTACTGATCGAACGATGCGTTCCTGCTGTTCACGAATAGAGTCGACTCTCTCCGTGTTTCATGGGAACGGCACGAATTTGAGTATCAATACCAATAAACATATTACACCCGTTACCAGTCAGTTGCGTAAACTAGGAGGCAGTACTCGAGCGAAACACTTAGAAGTATGTATATTATTAGTATATTTATATTTTTAACATACATATGCATTGCTGTATTACATTATTATATATTTGACAATCAATATTTGATAATCTGTGTATTATATAAACGATATTTTATATTTATATTATTGTAATTTTTCATGTGGTAGTTGCAATTGGAGGAAGCTTTTTTCCATGGTCAACCGGCTTCCACTCGGAAAACTGTCGATTTCGTTTCTGAAAGAGTTGCATCTACCTGTGTGAAGTATATATGCAATACCATGTTAGCCTCTTCGCGAGAAACAAATTTAATTTGCTTCAGAAGACTTTTGGCACATAAACATGTCGAAAAAGACTCTGACGAGCGGAGTGAAATATCGATGAGCTACTATAATCAATTTAAGGTAACATGTTCGCATGTTTATAAGGAAATTTTTTTTATGTTACGTCGATGTAATAAGATATTAAATTGCGTTTTGATATTCAGGCTTCGCTCTTGAGTGATATAAATATGTTAGCGAATAAAGTATCGAAAGATTTGAAAGATCAATGCGAGCAAACGATTCCGCCGATTTGCGAGACGCGAATCGCGACATCAATAGAATCTTTACTGGCGGAAGATTCTCTGACAGCAGTCAAAGAAATGTGCATAAAGATTGCGACCAGAATGGCGATGGAACGAATAAATCAGTGGATTCAATCACATATTGTTGGTGGTTCCTTATTTATAAAGGATATGGAACTTGAGATTAATAGATTTTTCCGGAACAATAGTCCTATGCACTCCAAGCAAGAGAAATGTCACAATATAGATGCTCCTAGTCCCACTGATGTGATAGATGAGCTTCGGGTAAGCTTATATCTATCATTTGAATTGGAATAAAAAATTTATGTGTGACATGATAATTCAGCTATCTGAATATGTTATATAAATTGATACAATATATATATTTTTCCAGGCAACAAAAATATTGGCTTATGTCATTTTTAAAATTCATAACTTTTTAAGTTATTAGTATTTGAACACATGTCTTTTGTTTCTGTTTATAGGGATTAATATGGCACATACTGGATAATCACGGCGTGGATTTACCTATGACATCTGTATTGAATATTTTAAAGAAACTGTATCAAGTTTTTGATCAAAGAGGTGATCTATTACCAGGACCACAAAAAGTTTTGTCTTATCTCAGTACCGACTTCGCGTTATTTTTAGGTATGTTTATAAAATAACATTGAAATGCCGAGAACAATGAAATTGAACCATCATAATATTTCGCGTTTTTAGTTGCCTACAGGACGGATCTTTTCACGCAAGAAATCCAGGACAAATTGATTAAAATATGGTCATCAAACGGTCTGACAGATGACGAAACCGATTCACCCATGAACAGACTCTTATGTTCCAGAAATATCATGTTGTTGGCGCAACCGCAAAATGACACGATATGGCCGATCTTCGGCAAATTTCTGAGAAAATTGTTAGAAACAAACATACTTGACGGAGACAGTTTGAGTGATCAGTGCGTAGCTTTATTCAGACAAGATTGGCCCATAGTGAGTACATGTACAATGTAATATTACTTATTAATGATTTATAATGTCTCACTAATATCAATCTTCTTGTTTGCAGCCATTGTTGAAACTTTTATCAAAGTGCCTGAACGAAGCTATCGAGGGTTATAAAGCTACCGACGAGGCGACGGAGAAAGTCAAGTACCTTCTTGGCTGGGTAGCGGAGACATATCACGAGATTGAATTTTGCAACGATTACAGTTTATAGACTGACGCATAGTAGGAAGTTTATGATACTGCGATAATCGGAAAGTACGACTGTTTAAATAATTTTCTGTAAATATAATTACCGCGTCTCTCCTCTATATATATATATGTATATTGTCGTAATTTGTCGAATTTTTAAGTGATACGAGGCATCCTTGTTCTGTATATGTTCAAAGATGCGTACGTACAATCTGCGGGTGTATCGACGAATATTTTACGAGAAAGAAAATAAATTCTAATTTTTTTGTATATGCGACAGTTATATTAAATATATAACAATATATTTTATAGTTAACGAATATATATATATATCACAATGTCCCTCTGTGTTATTCCCGTCGTTTGCGCGTGTACACATCGAGATAACTTGTCAAGATCGGTACGAGGCGCGACTTTGTCAAAATCTTGCTATATTGGATGCACTTCTTGCTACATTGAGTTTGTAGCTCCCCTTTTGTTTTTAGCAAGTTAGGTTTTATTTCATTCCATTCCTGCGACTCCGAATATACCCGTCTATTACTTTTCCATCCCATACAATCTGATTAATATATCTTCAATTCGGCAGATAATTACGTAATGAGATACGCGTCTTTAAAATCTTTATTGTCGAATCACACGCGAATCAATTCATTCAAAAGTTATCTCGCTTCAAACTCTGTATCTTTTCTATTATTAGATTAGTATTATTTAGATTGTGTCTGAAGTAAATGAAATATTAATAAATAGTTGATATCAATCACTCGAGACAATTAAAATTTTGTTGAACAACCTGTTCGTTAACAAAAGTAATAAACCTTGTTGGACGGTTTTGTCGACAGGACTGGCTAACTGCCTAACTTGTTAATAAACAAATTAACTCTCACCGCTGTAACAAGTTGTGTTCCATCTCAATTAACATATATTTAACCTACACACATTCGCTCTAAGAGAGAATTAATGTTTAGCTGTAACAAGTTGTGTTCCATCTCAATTAACATATATTTAACCTACACACATTCGCTAAGAGAGAATTAATGTTTTAAAAAAATCATATTTTGGTATGTGTCGTAGCTTAGAGTACTCACGCCTCCGCAATTCATTGTCCCGAGGGTGCTTTTCCATCTCTCCAAGGTAATATAACGTGCACCGTTATCACTGCTAAGCACACAGGCTGCTACAGCTAGTATCAAGATTGGCTGTATAAATCTCGCGGGATCAAAGCATATAAGTAACTTATTAATGAAACTCCGTGGAACCAAGGTTAGCAAACAATTCATTATATTATACATAATCATTTTTTATTATTATACAAAAAATAAATTATTATTTTGTAAGAATAATTTATTGGTACGTCCTATGTTCTATATATTTGTAACTTATAGAATTTTATAAAGAATAAAATTTTATGTTGATTCTCTCTCTCTAATTTCAGCTTTCAAGTTATATTTTTTGCGTAGAGAGTCTCTCGAAATAAGCATGCCGGTAATCCACGGAGATTTAGTTTTTTTGAACGATCCTGTTACGCTCTCCCCGTCGACACATTGTCACGACACAACGGGGATGGTTCTTTTGTCCTTTTGAAATTGGGTCATCTACCTCTGTTCCATTACCATAACTCTCAATGGTCGTCCACCCTCTCATCCGATGGCGGTACCTAATCTCGGCTCGTTGCTTGTGAATGATCGCAAATTTTCCTCGTAAGTAGCAGATAGACATTTTCTATCATAATTTATTCCGTAATCATCTATTGATGGATATTATGCGGGAAAATTGATGTCTTATTCAAAAGGAAAAACACATTTATAATAATTGTATCAATAAAAGAATATTTAATTGTTTTATATTATGTGCAATGTCATCAATGGTGTAATTTCTAAAATTATCATATTATCCAATGATAGAATCAATAATCATTATTTTTTAATAATTTTTGATTGAATATTAAATGCGCAAGCTGTTATTATTGTAATTATTTATTTTGATTTATTTTTATAATCATTATTTATTTATTGAAAGATGACAATGTTATATTATAATTCAAAGATATAATTATTATCTTTATTTTTTCTGGTTTTTAATGACAAAATATATTTTTATATAAAATATAATTTGGTTATTATTAAAATTATTCAAAACTGATTTAAATTTACATTAAACATGAAATTGATTTAATTTAATTTGAAATTTTACAAAGAATTATATATTGGTCAACAATTTTCATTCGCAATGTGTTATACTGGTGATTTCAATTATTTGTGTACGTTTGTTACGAAATATTTTTATTGCCGAATTGGATTGCTCTCTGTTTACAATTTTTGCGCTGTTAATCCCTCGCAACAAATAATTAATCTTAACGTACAATAGTGTACATTATTTTTCTCAGAAATTTCAAAACATTTTTCATTTTTTTCTTCTATCTAAAAAATTTTTTCCGATTTCAATAAATCCGTCCCCGAAGAAGTTAAACGGAATATAATTTCGGAAATAAAAAGGAAGAAAAACATGCATACTCGTCTTGTATACATTCACCGTAGGATGTCCGTTCCCTCCTTTGGAGAGATTGGGGGAAACTTCACGCTGTACAGTTGCGCGTGTATGTCATGCGCGGCGCAGTTCCGCGCGCGCGTTCGCGGAGCGCGAACCGATCGTAGTCGCAGTCGCGGTCCGCGGGCCGTTCGCGTTCGTTCTCGTGCTCGTCATCTCCGAGCGTCGATGCCTGTTCTCGTTCGCGATCATCTACGATCGAATCAATTACTTGAGGAATCGATTCGCGTTGATTCCCCGCGCGATCGCGTCGCGACGCTCATCGTGAACACGATTCACTCGCCATTTCTTTCGACGACGCCGCGAAGGATCGGATCGAGAAAAGATGACTTCGAAGGAGAGCGAGTGATCGAGAAATGAGAACGGCAACTGCCGATCCCGGGAAGATCCTCGACGGGCACGGAAGCACGTGATAACGTAAAGCACGGTAAAAAATTACATCCAATTATTTTCGTTGCCGCGAGAATAGATGTCTCGATGTAGTAGAATGTTGCTGCAGTCGCTTTTGAATAGCGAGCATCCTCTGCATTGACGCCTCTTATCAGCGAATATTCGATTTCATCGAACGAAAAGTGCGTGAATCTCGTTCAGGTCGCGAGGGAATTTCATTAGGTATTTCGATTGAATTTTTCATCAAAATTGCAACCGCCATGTTTGCTAAAATTCGCGCGCCAATTTTGTCGCATAGCGAAGTTGGTTCCGCGTCTATCCGAGTAAACGAACTTCGGATGACGTCACATTTGACGAGGCGATCATTTAAATATTCTTACAACGATCGTTTTTCTTATTGTTGTGTAAAAACTTTTCAGGTAAGCGTCATCGGGGCTCGCGACGTTTGCGAGGGTGGAATTTCCCGGTGTAAGGAACACCGCGGTCTTCGTTGAGACCGAAAGCGAGTAACAAAGGAAGCGATGAATTTGGACGAGCGGTGAGACGTCGATACCTAGCCCTAACCGTCTCGCGGTGGCAAAGTGATAACGGTCGGAAACGAATCTCCCTTGGATCTAAGGCGGCGTACGTGCCGGCCGGTACCGGCCTTTCGTCAGAGCACGCGAGAAGTTTGTTTCACGTGGCTCGTGCGTAAATCATCGCATCGAGAAATGTGATCCGACCCAGCTGCAGCCGCCCCTCGATCCATCAAATTCTGTAATTTTGACGACGCATCTCCATCGAGCACGTAAGGTAAATTTTTTAAGCTAAGAGAGGGAGAGAGAGAGAGAGAACAACAGAAATATATACTCGAATTTTAATTATTCTGATATAGCAAGATATAAAAATAAATTGTATATGTATTAATATGTATTAATATGTATAAATTGAGAAAGTTATACATGTCCTAAAATTCGCTCACAATAAAGGGAGAACGAGTGAGATAAAATAGTTTTTATAAAGTATATTTATGGAAAATCATATTTATCCATTATGTTGAAAATGCATAATTTTAGAATTTTGCAATAATCGTTAATCGATATTTTACATATTTAACGCAAAAAGCTAAAAGTATTTCTATATTTTAATATTTATATAGTCTCTAAAATAATATTATAATGATAGATATATGTCGATCATACAAATTTTAATTCGATATTTTCTTTTTTTTATATTTGATAATTTGTTAACGAAAATGAAAAGGTAATTAAAGAATATATTTATAAGAGCGTTTTAAAAAATTTTTTTATAAGATGATTTTTTTTATAACTACTATGTATATATATATAAGATATACTTTAATCTATACATAATTTATTTAACATGCAGATTCTAAAATGATAAGAGATTCTTTATATTAAATCCGCTTTAAACTCATTTTAGATGATATGAATGAGTCGCGATAAAATTTTCAACATTTTATTTATGATTTCATGCAACATGTAATATAGAAAATATTTGAAGAGAGACACATCTCAAAGTATACACAAAATTATAAATAGAATTCTATTATGAATTCTGCCGCAAGTTATAAATCGTCTAAAATGTCAGATAAAATTTCTTTCGATAGAATAAAACGCATTCCGATGTTCAATTTCAATCAGCGTGACGACGCGCTAAATAAATATGAGCAGTATTTATTTTTTTCCATAAGCAAAGTTTCGAGAACTCAAGGTCTATGTACATGTCAAGGCGCGATAAAATTTTGCTCTCTTCTATTAAAAAATCATCGTATTTTGTCGTACGTTCGTTGCAAGGCGGAATTATGCAGTCCGATAAACCGGTGCATCCGTCGTTTATCCATTGGCCGCGATTCGCTATAAATACACTGTGATCCGGAAATACCGCGGAAAGTTGAGGCACGAAACAAAGTAAAACGACGAACGGATATCGACTCGTGTGAACGTACATCGAATGTAACACAGAGATAAATATTCGATATTATTTGCCATGTACTTTTAATATGTGTTTCAGCAATCGTTGAGACAACTGATTCTTGACACATCATGGAATGCCATTTAAGCGTTATCACGTAGTCAGCAACTGGTGTTAATTGGTATAGTTAACGCGACATGCCCCAATTCGTACTTTGCGATCGATTGCTCGAGTGGATCACGTTCGCGATGCATCAGATATGTTGACGTCTCGTATGTGCGTGTATCTCGAAATTATATTATCTCACAGAATAGAGAACAATCTCTGCCTGTTAACAACTAAACAAGCGCATAGATTAGAATGATATACGAATCTCTCTTTTTTCTCTAATGAAACTTAATTAGTTTTAATTCTTTGCGATCTAAAAAGATTAAAAGAAATTAATCGATATTAATTTTTTATTTATTTATTGTTTTTATTCTGATATTAACAACGTATAACATTTTCTGAAAATTCTAAAAGCTATACAGGTACATGTAAAAATTTTAATTTTTTATTAATTTTAATATGTATTTTCGCGAAATTACGTCTCTAAATGTCATTAAAATATATAATATTGAAAATTAAAAACAATAATTAAAATAAATTTGACATCTAGTTAGGAATAAACAAGCTTTATATTTTTTAAAGAAATATTTACCGTAATAGAAGAAAAATAATTAATTCCGGAACAATATGTATAATTTATATCATGTTAATTATCGAAATGAGTATAAAGAAAAAGCAGGAAGAAAGAAAAAAACTTGCAAAGGAAAATATTATGCAAATATTAATTATACGCACGTGTTATTCTTGCAACGCGCGACAGAAATGAAATTTTATACCAGCGAGAGAGAAGACATATTTTTGCGCGCGCTTTCACATCGTGAATGCCGAATAAGGGCCGGAAGCCTGTTAACGTTTCGCAGTAGTTTCGGCGTTGCACATTCTATCCCAAGAGAAGGCATCTTAAAATTCGCAAGATATGGGTGATGAATCCTTCTTCTCTAAAGTACATTGTCGTAGAGAAAGGAAAGTCGCGTTAAATACAAAGTCTATCGACTATCGCGTTCAATTAGCGTGTGAGATCAAAATTTTGAGGTACAGAATATAATTTTAACAAAATAAATGAACAAGAAGTTTCACACATTTTTGTGAATGTTTAATGTAATTAATAATTACTTTATATCAATTCCGCTCTTTCTCTCTTTCTCTTTCTTTTAAACGATGTTTTCTGTTTTATTTATATTTATATCAAACAAATATTTTGTATTAGTTAGTGAGAATGTAGTGTTAATATTAATTTAATAACAAATTTGGTAATGTATTATTAATTTGAGGATATATTTTACATAGCTTATAAAAACATTTAAAATGAACGTAGACGATAATTGAATAATGAACAGATGTGTAAGAAATACATAAAGGAACGTTTGCGCTGCTCGCGCGAAATTTAGATTATTAACTGAGAACTTTAAAACGGTTGACTCAATTAAAACTTGATGGTTGAACAAACAACTTCAAAATTAGCGCGTCATGCGCGGTGTATTATTAATTTTAAAAAATCTTATTTATTAGACAGTTTGCGAGAAAGATCGATTAATTCGCCGTTACGTGGGATCTCTTTTTATCCATATATCGTTGCTCAAAGTTGACAATGCAAATATTGTGCTCACACAATTAACAAGTTAATTACGTTTCATTGGTCAACATCGTCGTCGAGTATAAGCACATTTTATATACACTTTAGCATACGTTCGTGTTTTAGCGAAATTTGCATACATAAATTATAAAACAATACACAATGGATTTCAGGCGATAGAACCAATTCTGTTCAGGCAAATAAATGTTTGTTAAATGTAATAAATATGTATACATTGTGTAAAACGCATAAAGTCTTTTGATTTCAATTAATTATGTTACTGAAAATATGTCATTGGTTAATGCATCGTGAAATGCATCAAAAATGAAATACGCTTGTGATCTTTCTCTCATCCAGAATTTCAGTTCGTGATGATAATTTCCGGAAAATAAAATAGAAACATCGGAATATATAAATATTATATATATAATTTTAAAAAGATTTTTCAAATATAATAAAACCATTATATTTTTATTAAGCATATTTCTCATATTAAAAAACAATTGCTTTAAATCTGACCTAAAAATGATTATTTTAATGATTAAAATCCGTGATTTGATTATATTTATAAATTAATATCTTATTCTTGGGATATAAGTTTATTGGATACGTTTATTTGAGATATAAGTTTATTTGGGGATTAGTCTTATTACGTAGGTTCGTAATTACATCGGTTAATCTTCGTCTTACTTGTAATGCTCACACTTTTTCTCTTTGCAACATTCAATCGTACGTTGGCGGGATCGGTGATATGGACAACGTCTTAAGCCGACATACGCTAGACAGTGGAGCAAATTGAAACAAGTCCGGCACTCCGGAACTCGACTCGGATGAGTCGAGATCGCGGTTTGCATTGCTCCGACAAGCAATTTGCGGAGAACCGTTCGCAGAGAGACGACAAGCAATACGCCCCGCGGCTAATTGCTTTTATCGCTGATTGAAATTTACGAGCGTCAGAAGTGTTGTAAACTTGATACCGTAACTTTCATTCTGCACGCATCGGAATAACTGTTAATATTTTGCCAAGGATATGTCGCTGCTCACAAATTATTCTTATTTGCGATGATTTACTCGTGGACTCGCGTTTTTTTTTCAAAGATACTAAGACACATACATGGAGTTTTCCTCGAGGGATTTATAATGCGAAACATGAGAAAAAATTTTTTAATTTTTCTCATACAATTAATGAAATTTCCATTTTTTATCATTAAGCTAGTTTTTTTCATATAATCGAAATATTCTAAAAATACTCTGTATTTTATTATGGTCTTTAACTTATTTTCTACATATAGTATTAAATCTTTCTTCTAATTATTGAAAATTTGCAGGAAAATTTAATTATGTTACAATCTCGAATGAGATAAAACGGTCATGTGTTATATTTTACATTGTTACATAGAATTTTTTCAAAGAAGTAAGATATTCTTATAACGGGAAAATAAAATTGCGATATTTTATACACGATATTTTCTCTTGGCTTGGTAACGTTAGAGCCAAGGTCTACCTTCAAGATTGTCCTGATATCGTCTAACGCGGTATAACAGTAAAACGAGCAGCGGCCCGAATATATTACAGACGGCTGTTGCCTCCGGTGAGATAATTCTCTGATATTTAGCATTTCGAGTTGTCAAAACCCATCCGCGAGAGTTAACGGTCTTCGTCGCTAATTAAAATTTGCGATGGTGGAAGCCGAGATTATCGCGGTTTTTCCGGATTGCGGTAAACGTTTATTCTCTTTCTTTAGTTTAACGGAGGTAACCGGATAAATGGCAAAAGTATTTACATTGCTATTCGCATTAATTTAATTTAAATTAATTAAATTTGCTTTCTATCTCTCGGTTATCCACTTCTTCCTTTAATTGAACATGCGGTAATTAAAATTTCGAAAGCAGATGGCTCTTCCTTATGTATGTAAATTATTTTCCTTTCTAATTGTATTGTCTTTATATTTGCCTTTCAATTTTGAGTTTATAATTGGATTTATCTTGTTGCAGATGTTAGCATAACGGCGACATGGAGACGTTATATACTGGAGCGATTCATGGCTTTCCGCAGCCCGGCGGCGGAATAGCTAATGGCGTTTCCACGGGAATCGCCAGTTCCTTCGACCAGGACGGCGTGTTGAGTCTCATCGTCGTCCTCGGGGGAAGCTTGTCCCTAGTGGCCCTGGTATTCGCATTCATCACATACAGGTAAGTCCAGCTTGAGACAGACAAAGCGTTCGTCTAATATCCCGATATTATGGAATTTCTTTGTGAAAAAGATATGTATGTTAAAAGATATATTAATTATTGTAGAGTAAAATAGAATTATTATATAATATATGTATACATGCGCGTGAAAGAATATAATAATTTTTAAAATCTATTTTATTTTATTATGTATATATAACAGTTATTCATAAAATATTCATAATGTCGGTAAAATTAGAAATTGCATCTTTGTTTTTTTTTATTTCTCTCGCGGCAAATTTATTGCGCGAGAGATATTTGCTTTTGTATTCTGGTTGTTTAATTATTACTACAGAAAGAACAACTTAATTAAAAACGCGCAGATTAATTAATCTCTGAAGCGTCCTCTGCTCGATACACTTCCCCTGTTTTTGCTACGTTCGGATTAATCTTTCATTATTTATTTACTTGTTTCACGTTGTTTTATTCGTATCTTGGCAAAGAATTTAATGCGATTGCAGAGTTAAATTAATAATATCGTATTCCTATCATATCCCCAATTCTCTTAAATCTTTTTTAAAATTAAAATGTAAAAATAAGTAAGTTGTACAAAAATTGAAAACGTCTCACGATTTAATCACGATCGAGATAAGCCAATGGCGTGTTCAAAGGCATTTTGTAAACTTGTATAGCTCCTGTTGCGCTATATTTTGTAAAAATGTGCAGCAATTTATCCCGGAAATCGGTCAGGAAGTTTGGTCTTACGCCGGTCACGTCTTCTATTTTATCCGTTATTTTTGGCACGTTGGCGATTTCGTTCGCGGTTTTTATGGATCGCCGATTCACGAACCACAGGGTGCTAATCGGTGTATTCTTACGTCGAAAGACGATACCGCCGGAATACCAAACAACTTTGTGGCCTTCTTTTGTAATCTCGCTCTCGTCTTTCGAAAGGGTATTTCTTTTCTGCGTTTTTCCTGCGATATAATTTCTCAATATCGTACTTATGGCGCGACTTCAGAATTTTTACCTCGCCAATAATCGAAAAATCGATGACTCGCACTTTTGTTATAATGACGTTTCGACCTTTACCTTCGAACGCGAATTAAATCGTCGGTGAAGGAATAAAAATGTTGCATAGCAAGCGGAGAAAAATCAGACAGAAAGAGAGAGAGAGAGAGGAGAGGGAGGAGACCAAAAAAGAAGAGAGAGAAAATTTCATGATCGATCATGGTCTATCGTGGAAATTGCCAGGAAATGGGAAAGCGCAGCCACGATGTTCCCCAACGCGCTTGATTCCAAAAGAGTCGACCGTCCGGCGATCTTCGATGTGGAAAAAAAAAAAGACTGGACAAAAAGCTACCGTCGCAAATGGCGTCGATAAAACGCACTGAACTTCGACACTTTATCCCATTTTTCTATCAAATGTAAATTCTTCCCATATATTACGTTTCCGTGAGATTTCGATATATCGCGAAAAACCCTGCGTATAATAAGAATGGTCACTTCTATTAGAAAATATCTATATTTTTCTTTCGAGATATCTTGACAAGGATATTTATATAAGTGTAAAATATTGTAATAATAGCTCAGTTGATAGATCTTTCGATTTTTTTTCGAGTTGTTAGATTAACGCAGAAGCGAACATCGTGAAAATAAATTGCATACGTTCATCACGGAAAATTTAAAATTTTTCGCCGAATTATCCATCAACAGGTTTCCATATATAGTATTTTGAACTTATAAAGCTTTTTTGTTGCTAGTCGCGAGTTTGCCGAGTACCACTATCTTGACTTTCATCTCCATAACGCGAACTGTTTATTATTCCCACAATTTTGATAAATTATTATTATCTTACTTTTAGAGTAGATATACGATTATAATATTTTGCTAACATTATTACTAATTGTATTTTTCTATTAATATAACCATTTATTATTTTATTTAGCAAATTACTTTATCTATAAATTCGAATTTCTCAAGTGTCTACAGTCTACGTATATATTTTTGAAAGTCAATTTCGACAGCTTGCTTTTTTTATCGCTGATAAAACATTATACTGCGTCAAGAACATAAAGCCACTCCTCAACCGCAACTTATATATTTATTTTTCTTTAATGGAATTTTATATCTTCAAAGATCTCCCTCACTGTGGCTAATTAGATTCGTGACAGGAATAATTTCACGCGCGAAATATTATATTTTCTTAGATAAGAATACGTGCGCGAAGAAGAGCCGTTTAATTAGTCGGCAGGATAAACTAATCAAATCTCGTGTCTGTAATAATAATAAAACCGCTTTTCTCTTTCTTTCTTTTTATTTTTTGTATGAATTTTCTCTTCACTTTCTCTCTACATTTTCCAGAGAAAACAGGGTTCGCTCACGTTCGTTTATTTGCGCTATTGTATCGAACGATATTTCAATATTCCGTGAATGAATTGTTATTTTTCCATTACTATGTTATCTATCAGTGTTTTCATTTCCTTTTTTATTATTTTTTCTACTTATTGCTATTTTATTTAATTTCTTTCCTCGTTGTCGAGAAAGAGATATATCTTTTACGCTGCACTCTTGATTGTGTTATTTTACGATTATCCTTATATGCATTTTAAATTATGATTCTCGCGCGTTGCGATGTTACATTACGCGCGGGTTTTATATCTTTTACGAGAGATAAACCGAATAGTATAACCGGAATGTTCGACCTTGTTACAGCGATTCCGTCTCTTTGATGGCGTTTTCGCGCGAATTGTTCGCGGTCGCCGCGAAATTCATACTGATATTTAATCAGTGCTCAATGAGATATTCAGCGCGTATTGAATATCGCTCATTGATACCACTTGTTATCTCGTTCATCGCGACCGGCGTCTGACAGCTCTCAGAATTGACCTTCCATTACGATGTGATTCTGCGCGTTTTGCATAATTTTCTTATATATATAACTTTAGTTTCATTTTATTGCATATAATTATGGAGTTATGTAAGCGATATAAAGACTCGGTTATCAAAGTCAAAACTTAAATAATTAATTTTCTTTAATATGAAAAAGATAGGATGGGGGAAAAAGTTATTTTATTGTGTTGTTTAGCATTGTGCATGATAATAATTACATTTGCAATAATAAGATTAGGAAATTATTATATTATTAAATGGTTATCCGTAGATCCTCATAGGATTAAATTAACAAAGAGTTACTTGACGCCAAATAGTTAAATTATTTAATTTATTTTTGATTGTGAAATAAAGTAATTATTGGACTTTAGGATTAAATAGTGAATGGCGAATGATAGAAATAAAATTATATTTAATTACGATTACGAAGATTACGTTACTCCGAATTCGAGTAAGGGAATATTTGAGAACGGAATAAAACTGAATACCGTAATATTTGAAACGTAATATTCCATAGAGACATTCAAATGGACAGTGTTTTAATTTCCGTTATTTCGTTACGTGACTGCGTGAGAGCTCAGCGAATGTATACATGCACATATATACGCAGGTATGAGCTTTAAATAGAGGCTTTTTGCGAGAAACTATTGTGGAGAACGAGATTACGATGTGCATTCAGTAAGCTGCCCGTACATTATAATAGTTACAAATTTAATGCTTCCATTTCGAGCGCGTTAATAGGTTAAGCTCACCGCACAATACCTTGTGAAAATTTTTAATTAAAAGCATTTCCCACACATACACACACATTCGGATTTTCCGGTATTATTACACGACAGTAACGATGATACATAGTATAATAGATGTCTCTCTCTCATCCGTTGACATATAGAATGAAAGTAATTAAATGCGCAACCTAATCCTACTAGCATGCATTAATGGGATAAAATTCTATTAAGTAGACATTTAGAGACCCGCCAATTTCATTTTAATACGACAGGGCAAGTATGAAAATTTTAACTAAAAGCTGAAGACTAGAATCTATTCTCCCACACACATACACAGTATCGAGAAATAATTGTATTAATATCTAAAATTAACCAAAGTTACCTAATTTTAATAGAGAGTATTAACAAGTTCAAATTTAATTAACTGTACATTTACCTTCACTCTATACGTGAAAGCATTTTGGTTTATTCAATATCAAAGTATATTAATTTACTGGATCTATAGAAATGAAGAATCACACGCTAAATTAAGCCTTGATAATGAAAATATTAATTGTTTGAAATTATATTAAATTTAATATATCGCTAATTTACTAATTTAATTTTAATACGAAGAAGAACGCGCGAAAAGAAACGATTAGAAAAGAGCCGATGTCCGACGAAACGATCGAAATAAATTGTAGAAAGATGTATGATATTTTCGTCAAGATATCTGCGATTAGCGGCGATTAAACGCCGTTATTGCAAGCCCGGCATGCAATTTCGCGCCCATTATTCATGCGCGTCGCGCGGGAGTCGCGGTTCGGCAGTCCTGCCACGATTATCCTCCAAATTTCCAAACGGGGGGGCTGATAATTCATACCACCGCTCGGCTTGCGCGCCGCATTATTCCGCATGGCTCGTTACAATCCCCAACCAATATTCTCACGGGACGTGCAAATTCATTTTACGATGTGCCCTCATTGTTATCGAAAAGCGTAGATCGTGATTGGTTGGTCGGTCTCTTGACTAATGATGTTAATTGTTACCTTCGTGAATTGTTACGATTGTCTTGCGCTCATAGAATAAAATCTTTCGGCGAAATTAATTGCCAGATACTAAGAAAATTTTCAGTAACAGAATTTGCATCTTTTATGTTATATTCAATAAAAAAGTTGCATTTATTTCTGTAAATAACATATTATGATTCATTATTAATGAAGGATTTGATTGTCTGCTTTTTAAAATAAATGTAAATTTGATATACAAGTAAAAATACATTTAATGTCTTTTTATATTAAAAATAAGATTGAACTTGATTTCCTCGATCTCGAAATTGCACGTTAAAGCGAGATTCGATCGTTAATTGGCTCCATCGTAATTGTATAATTAAGCCATTAGGCGAGGCCACGTCGCTTTATC